TCTTATGTATTTTTAGGGTTTAAAAATATAAAGGGACTCCCAAATTAGTTCTTTTGAGTCATAAAATGCTCACTGTTAAATATTTTGCCATTGATATGTGAAAGAAGTATTTTTTGTAGGATTTTCAAAATTATCATCTAGTCAAATACTACTTTATGATTTGCTCTGTATTTTTTCTGTAGTGAAATAAAGTGTAGCTTTGTTTCACTACATAGTTGACATGGCTTTTTCTCATTTAGAAGAACTGCAGTCTGTTTGTTTGGCTGGCTCTTATTGAGTACCGGTGTAAATCGGCTACTTGTTGCCATGATGAGTTGTCCTCAAAAGGATTCAATAACTGACTCTTTAAGGAAATCCATGAAGGTGTTTAGAGGAAAGCCAAAATCCATAGTTGCAAATCATGGCAATGCCAAAGCAATCCACAAACTATAAAAATTTCATTGCAATAAAAGAGATAAACAGCTAGCAAATTTCTTTAATAACATTCTCAGCTATATTGCCAAAATTGAGGTAGTAAAAAGGCAATTCTCCACTTAAATTTACTTTCAAGATCATACTAAAAACTAAACATTCTGCATTTAAATACAGCTTTTCCTGCATTCCACCTCTAGGATATGCTTCCATAGATATTGCATGAATAAATGGTTAGTAAATCCAATGTTAAATGGATCAGTTCTCGTTTGTGAATTGATTGGAGATAAATGAATTTGTCTGCCAGTGTTTGTATCACAGAAAACTTCCTTTGTGTAAGAAGTGGTGAAAAACATCCTTATGTTGAGGACAATGATTATTCTTCCCCTTGTCCTCTTGAAATTATAGCAGTGCCTAGCACAGTGGCATCCTCTGCTGTAGCAGTATAAAAATGTGTGGTGTCACTGAACCCAAAAGTTTCCGATGCTCCAAACCAGATCTTCACACCTTGTCATGATATGCTCAGTGCCCCTGCCTTGAAATAAAGAATTGCTCTAATCAAAGGTGGGTTTGTGCCTGAACATCAAAATAGAGAGAAGTCTGTGTAAATGTGTCACTGAAGGTATGTTACACTTCTTAACAACTAACTCTTCTGAAGGATATGCTCCTTCCAATGCACACGAAATTCTGCTGTTGTTTATTGTGAGGCAATGTCATGATAAAAGAGCAGATGTCTCCAAAGCAACATGGTGTCATTTTTCTGCTAGTGAAAATCTGAGAAGAATTAAGAGGTGGCATAAAATACGAGGAAAGGATGACTTAAGTCAGAGCTTCCATTCCTGACATCATGACATAAGCATTTGAATATGGAATTCAGTACAATAAATTATTAATGTTTCCTTAAATATCTCAAAGACACATTACACATCTAGCATCTTACTTGGGAAAGGTGGAGAAAAGAGAAGCAAAAGAAGGAACAGTACGTATTGGTTTAAGATTCTGGAGCTTTGGGAGAGATTTCTAGAGAATCTTGCCTGAACAGGCAATAAAAGTAATGAGAGAAAATGGGTAAGGAAAAAAAAAAAGAAGAATAAACCAGTATTTTACCAGCTGCACTAGCACCAGGCTGGCACTGTCTCATACACCAGCCTCACAGTGCTGCAAATTTGCACATTGACCCAAAGGGATTTTTTCCTTCTTCTTAGGAAGCAGGTAGCTATACCACAGAAAATGATAATAGGTGCTGGTGGGAGTACTTGACAGTATCTGAAGAAACACGATCTTCAGGTAGATAATAATTAAAAGCGACACTCAACTTCCCTGGCATATTTAAAATGAAATTCAAATATGGAAATATTTGAATTTGTGGAAATATTACTATGGAGTTAAATGTGTTTGTGTGTGTAGTTCTTGGGTGAAAGGACGAGTTACTTGGTTAGTAATGTTACACATTTTATATTACTGTGAGCAGTTAACAGAACTGTCTTTTGAAGCAAGACATAATAACAATGCACAATTTTAGAGGTCAGAAGGATTAAAAGTATTCTCTGTCTGCACAAGTTTATAGCACACATTGTTCTTTAAACTGTGGGGACATAGCTGAAAGTTACTAGACAAAAATAGCTAAAGGGATTGTTGAATTAATCATAGAAATAATACAATAATGGAGACATAGTGAAGTTATAATGCTTTGTTACATGATCTAAAGCCACTCCAGTGTATTATGTGCTTGTTTCCCTTGTTTATTCATCTGTAAAGCCAAATGGTTAACCTTGCTTTATTTCTCCTCAGCTCTGTTGAGGCTGAACATTGCATCAATGACAAACTGCTGTGTACATGGGTGCAAGCAAACAGGTAATTTAGAGATGTTCTGATTGTTCCAATTTCTGTTTAAAGAAGCCAGTAAAATTTCATAACTGAGCCTGAACGGTAACATTAACTGTGGACGGAAAATTGAAAAGCAGTTTAGGGAACAAGAGGCATGAGGGAAAGGAAGCATTTAAATCATCCTTGAGATATGGTTAAAGGTCCTGACTAATTTGTGAGGAACTCAGACTCTGGTTGCAACATAATTGGTGTTGTTCTTCTTGTTCAAGTCATGCTAGGCCAATACTCTGTATTCAGTAAGGAAAATCAAACTTGCAGGTCACAACTCATGCGAGAGGTTTGGTGATACTGTCTTCATGCTCTCTACTGCACAGATGCTAAATCAAGGTAATATGCTGCAGAATTTCTTTTCTGCTTGTGAGACTAGATTGGAACTGTGCTCAAATTTCTAAAAGGCAATTCTGAATTTTACCTAAAAATATTTTCTGCAGTGTTTTCTCGTGTTTGGTTTCTTACGAGGCATATGTGTCATCTGGAATATGAAAACATTGATGCTTACATGAGTTCAAGGCAACCTATAGGCTGACAGAAGTATATTTATTACCATGAGGAAAGTGGCCACTCGTTACAGATGCAAGTTTAGTGCAATAACTGACATCTGTTGCATGAAAAAAATTTTAATGTATCTTAACTTCATTTTTTTCTTCAGCTCATTTGTTATTTCTGTCTTTGGTTAGAGCTTTCTTGTGGGATGGGGACACTACGTGTGCTTTTACTCACAGCTACAGACCAAAGTCTGTTCACCAGATGTGTCTAAACAGCTGCCTTGTTCTTGGAAAAGACATGGTGAATGAGCTTGAGCTGTGAGAAAGACCTGACAGCTCAGCATCTCTTTCTGCATGTGGTTGGTGATGGCAATCCTACCAGTGCATATGGGCCCATTTGGCAATACTTGGCCTTGCTGCACCCTGAGACCCTGCTCCTTCTCTGGGGTGAGAGGGTGGGGAAGCCCAGCAGCGTGGGAGAGTCCGAGGTTGCTCCTGTGGCAGTGTGCATTAAGGGCACGGGGCAAGATGAGGCATACATTTCAACGTGTAGTTTATATTGTATACAACTGCTTGTGAGGAAGTGTTTGGCTCTAACACACATTCTTGCCTCTGTGGCAATTCTGGAATATAAATATATTTAGTTCCTGGCTCTAAAAACAAAAGAGAAGAGAAGAGAAGAGAAGAGAAGAGAAGAGAAGAGAAGAGAAGA